AGTTGTCTGAATGAATCACAATAAGACAAAAGAAGATGGAAAGCTTGATGATTAGCCAACATCTTGAGGACACTGATATAGAGAGACCACTTTACTGGAAACCAGACTGGAAGTGGTAAAGGCATCCACAACCACATCCCACCTGGACAGACAGCCATTGGTTGAGAGGCTTTGTTGGTATGCTATGTTGTTCTTAAGCACAATGCTACACAATGGGTGACCTTTACTATGCCCATCATGGATACAGAAACCCAAATATTTTAGCAATATAAGCCCTCAGACTTACTGCTGAGCCAATGAGGGATCTGAACAGATGTAAGTCTGGGTGGAGTGGGGGGGGAAGATTATTACTCAGGGTTATGTGGAATTGACTGAGCCATCACAACAGCAAGAGATAAAGAGATGGAGGGATAGACACAAGAGAAGACAGTGGGTCTCTTCATTTATTACCTAGAGTCAACTGAAGGGGACACATTGGCATATCCAAGATGAACAAGAGACTTGAGAAAAGAGGCAGTCCCCAAAAGAGACAAAGTCTCTCATGTAGGAGAAGGAGACATAAGATCCTTGGTAATCAGAAGCTTCATGTCTTGAAGATATAAAGGAAAATGCTGAGCCTATACTGCATACTAACTGAAAAGACTGAAATGAAGAAGATACAGGGTGAGTTCAAGACTTATTTGTAGAGCGTAACCAGCCACTCCAGACCCCATATGTGCCATCATAAGTTGTAAATCACTCAGGGAACATGCAGTTCACGTTACACTAATGAATTACATTACCCACGAGCTGCTCATGTGTGTGCCTCTTGAAACATTTTTATTATAATATTATTATTACTTATTTTATCTAATATAATCTTAATAAACCTAAAAGGATCCCTATTTTTACATTTTTGTTACTTTTATAATTATACATAAAGAATAAACATGAAAAACAAAAAATAAAATACTTAACTAATCCTCTATTTTTCTTTCTGTTGGTTTTTCGAAAAGAGTTAACCCTAATTTTTTATACTAATTATAGTAATGCACTTGATTATTTTTATTTAATTAAATAATGCCCCAAAGAATATAGACTAATAACATTCAAAAATTAGACAAATTACCTTACCTCTCAACATTTTTCTGGCTTTCTAGCTTTGTGATAAGAGCCATTACAAATTCATCCAAGCTAGTCATTAACTTTCTCAAGGAAACGATGTTGGTACTCTGAGTGAAATTGACATCTAACTGTTCAGAACATAATGTTATACATCATTTGATAGATGAAAACCTTGCCTTTCTATTAGTTATAGGTAATATATAATGAAACGTAAGAGAAAACTATCAATAAATTCTGAAAGAGAGGATGTGAAATGTGGGTGTGGCAGGAGGGGTCTGATTTTCTATTCGATAGCCAAACAAAATTGAAGACAATAAAACTATGGTTTGTCTGAGCAATAAAGATTTTATAGAGAGTAATTTACATTTAATTTTGTACTTTTTCGAGGGGTAGTGGATAAATTAGGGATGATGGCATGCTAAGAGAAAATGTATCACGTGGGTCACACTAGTGGAAATTCAGGATTTTTTAAAATATTGCCTTGTAGAAATAAGAACTTAAAACTTGTATACTGTTAAAATATGGATTATTAGCTAACATTTTATGCTATCTTAGTTGGTATAACATAAACAAAAAGTAGTTTAATAAAATTTTGAATGCAAGACACTAAAACCTTGTGTCATGTGCAGTAAATGATACCCGTGGTGATAGGGTTAAGGGAATAGGGGGCTACCATGGAAGATCACATTCTCAAAAGTGATAGAACCTCGTGGGCTGTAATAGAACTGAAAACTCAATGAACAATGTTGAAGAGGAGAAGGGTAGGCCCGACTGAGATGAGTTTTGAAAAAGAAAAACACCCAAATGAACAAGATATTAGATAGGTCACAGTAAGGACCTCTCCAACTTGATTAACCAGCCCACTATAGCTGCCACCAGGAGCAGCTGATAAGGTAAACAGGCAAAATCCTATTCAAAACAAACTAACAGTAGCCAGTCATCCAAAGAAAGAGGAAAGCACAACCCAAAAGCATGTAAGTGACATACAGGGCCGAAGCAAGTCCAACGGGCAGTGCGTGATACAGATAAACCACCCCATGGAGAATAGAACAAAAACCAGAGAGAGGATTGCGAGTGACAAGATAACAGGATATGCCAATAAGCATTTGCGACATTCCTCTTGATTATCTATAAGCCTGGAGAAAAAGTCCACCTAAGGGTGAGAAATGACTCTAAGGTAAAATGGAGCAGATTGAAAATTAGATTGGGGAAGGACAAACCTACTCCATTCTGCCAGTCTTTTATTTTTGTGAGAAAAACAAACAGCCTGGAGAAAGATGATGAACAGGTGCAATGGCCTGTTGAGAGAGTAAATCTTGCACCACCTCAGACAGACACCGGCTAGTGGCAGGATCCTAAGTCATGGGGAAGGAAAAGGGGTACCCGAGACAATGGAGGTAGGAAAAGAAATAGTAGGAGAAGTCCCTGTGATAGGAACCGAAGAACCCATGGCTCTGTAGTGAAAGATCACCAAAGGATAACAAAATAATACAGTCAAGCTCCCACTGATTAGTCTCCAGTACTGAAAGGACGAGAGGAGAAACTGGAAGGAGGAACAGAGAAGGGTAGATAAGGGCCAAGACAGGAAAGAAATAGAGGCTTGTCATGACTGCATCCAAAGAAGAAAGGGTATAGTGTTGATGCACGAATTACACAAAATTCAAAAGTCTCAGATACATGATCAAAAACATATCGCCAAAGAAAAAAGGACCATGCATAAATCCCTAAAAGAAAGAGGCAGCAAACAAACCCAGGACAAGGTTGCATCATGACTCAGAAGATCCTAACAACAGTGAAACCTCGTGTAATATAATAGCCAAAGAGAATAAACAAGCCAACATGGAGGTATTAAGGAATCATAGAAAAATGGGGAATTGGATAAAACATACCTAAGAAATCATGTCAAAAAATGCCATATTAGGCCCAGCTGATTTTGCAGGAGGGGTAGGGAAAGACATGGCAAAATCAGGTGGCGTAAGAAGGCTATCAAATCTTTATTGGTCCGAACAGGTTCAGCTTGTCCAGGAGGATTAGAGGCGCAAGTTCAGGAGAAGTAAGTTGACCCACATAATGATCAATCTCACAGCATATAACAGCAGAGAAATCCAACGATGGATCTCCACACCTGCAGCCTGTGAAAATAGTGCTATAGGTATAACACCTGAAGTGGGAACATGAACCTCAGAATTCATTGCAGAAATACATAAATCAAACAAAAGTGTTTGATGTAAAATATTCAAGTATGAGAAAAAAATAGACTAGGAAATAAAGTAAAAGATTTCTTCAGTATAAAGAAAAAAAGTAATGAAGAAATCCCAATTTGGAAATTAAACTATTAAGATTACAAAAACAATTCATAAGAAGAACACCATCTTTACAGACTTTTACTAATCACTTAGCATAAACTTGCAAAAACAGGAAGTTCAGGACTTCTACGGCATCAATTTTGGAAACCCCATTCAAAAACTTTAAGATCTCAGAATGATACAGTATGCTAAATATTCTTGTAATCACGCAACTTTGTCTCATTGAATCTTCTAAATCAGGTCTTGTGTGTGTGTGTGTATACAATGTTATTCATGACATATCCAGGCTCACCAACAGGGAGGGGGGGGGGGCAACTGCCCAGGGACCCGGGTGAATGAAACCTGGTTATGCCGTAAAGCCTGCAAAGCATCATTAGGCTATATCTTCATTTAATGATTAAAAAACCATAGTTTTTGGCTTTTCTTTGCATATAGATGCTTGATACATTAAGAATGACTGAAATAATAATTTGAGTAATAATTAATATGTATTTGTTATTTTATAGATTTAATAGATATTTGTTGTTACTTTATTAATGTTTTTACGCTTATACTGTAAGGTGAAAATAACTGCTGCTATGATTTTGTCTGGTTTAGGAGCTCGTTGGTGTCCTAATTTAGGATCTTCTTTTTAATAAATTCTTGAAAATGTTAAAAAAGACAGAGAAAAATAGGGAGTCCGGCAAGGATGTTTGCCCTGGGGCCCGTGCTGGCTCTCGATGTTCCTGGACACATCTAAGAAGTGTTACAAATAGAACTGGATAATAAGTGGAATTTGTTACATGTGTAATTATCGTGCTCATTAATTGATTACATTCAACTAATAAATTATTGACATAAACTGATTCAGTTGACTAAAAAACACATAATAAGTTAAAACATTACAAATTGGGTTTCAATACCTGTAGCGGACACAGCAAAGATAGCCTATAGTATAGCTTTGTGCTTACCAACAAACAAACAAAATAGCATTATTTCAATTACACAAATAGTTAGAATAATCATAAATAGTAATAAATGGAAACACTAATTTTGACTAGTTGATTATTTTTGTCAGTCATGATACTTACCAAAAATATTAATGAAAAATCAAAATGACAATATTTCTATTACCAGATAGTTGGAATACTTAGAAACATTAGTTTATATTAATTGATTATTTTACCAAAAAACAACTGATGTAATCAATGCTCATGATTATATCAATTAATCCAGTAAACTACCTACCTCTACATATTACTTACCTGTAGATTGGTATTTGTCACAAGGGACAGACAAGAACCTGTATTGTAGTTACATCTTCCATCACAATCAATAAAAGAACATTCTTCGTTGGTGTTGCAGCTCTGAGTATTCACCATGGTTTCCAACAAAACTGGTTCAAATAATGCCATGTCTGTATCTAGCAGTTTTAACTTTCCTTTTTTATCTTCTCCAAAATGACCAATTTTCATATCACAAATGTGAAGTGTAAGAGGAAAAGCAGTCTTAAGATGTGTTGTTAAATGTAGTAGCTTCAGTGCTAATTCTGCTCTCTTCTCAAATGTATGTTCCCAATTTTTGGACAGAACTCCAAAATAGTTGGCAAGAGGTTTCACATATTCTACCGCATAAATGTGGCCACAACTTCCTAAAACTTTGGGGAAGAGTCCACTGGTTTCAAACAACTTGGACAGTATGTATTCATTCTGTTGAATCAAGTACCATACATTATTCATCACTGCTGTGCCATTAGTTAGGCTTGAAACATCTGAAGTCCACAGTTTATTTAGAAGTACAAAGCCCTTTGGGTACTTTTCAGACAAGGTAATATTAATTCTTTTTTCAACACTCTCTTGAACTAGCTCTGTAAAGGTTTCAAAATCAGGATAAAATGTCTTTTTATCTGCACTCTGCCAGTATATTTGTTCATATTGTTCAGGGTTTAGAAAAGTTGCCTTAAGTACAATTCTGTCAGCTCCCCATTGACCTGAAAGCACAACATCTTTTCCTAAGTGATGTCCTTCACAAGTCCCAATTTTGATATCACCTTCAACACACAATGCTTCACACATTCTTCCCAAGGCTTCTTCTTTGAAGTAGAGCTGGCACTGAAAGTATTACCATAATTAACACAGCTGGCACTAAAAGTATTACCATAATTAACACAGCTGGCACTAAAA